TTAAAAATTGCACTACATAAGGCATTGTTTGAATGAAAACTTTGTTTATGAATATTGTATATTAATTTGATAACTTTTATAACTACCATGACAGACATTTAGCAGATGTAGCGTTAATCAGGGAGCATCACTTATTGGTTAAGCTGCTGTACTATTCCCTGAGTTGGTATCACAGAAAGAAATGGACACTTCCAGAGGTTACATTTGAAATTTTGCTTAATAATTTCCCCATGCCAATTGGACATTTAGATTTTAATTTTTGGATTTTTTTTATTCATTCCTCTCATAGTTACGCTCTTTTCAATGTACAAACCAGGCTCTTGAGTTTAGGAAGCTCAACGGAAAGTCTACGAGACTATAAATTTACTTTAAAAACTAATATTATTTCTCGCATACCTCAATGAATTATAAAATTAATCAATCCATTATTTTTATTTGCTTTAAATAAAATAATAGATTTTTTTTTTATTAAATAAATGAATAGAAATAAAATAATATACTACAATAACAAAAAAAAAATCTTACTAGTTTGAAATTAAAAAAAATACATTTTAATTTTAAGAAATTAACTAATTTTTTATGAATAGAGGTGAATTGTTCTGGTATATTGTGTTTTTGGTTTCAAAACTGAAGAACAGTGTTCAAAAGCCAAGCTGAAAGTTTCAAAGTCTGTAATGTGTAAAGGCCAAGAAACCTGTTAGCCGAAATGTCCATTCTTTTGGTATCAAGAGGAGATGAAAAAAACAGTCTCCAAAAATCACTTTTGTGAATGTTCTTTCAAACTGTAGTTGTAAAATGTAGAAGCAGTACTCAGTACTTTTCTAGTGGCGAATAACTTCATGCCAGAGTACCAGGCGTAGCAAACATTAAAAAACACAAACTACTAGTTTTTAAAATTTAGCATATACTTTTTTTCATGTTGGATAGCAGTGAGCTTTGTATTCCACTTATGCATGTCACTAAGAGCCTACTGAAGAGTGATGAATGTATTGCCTTACGGAGGGACTTTTATGGGTTACAGCCTCATGTTTGTCTGTCGTATGGGAGAAACCTTAGGAAACCCACTCCCTTTCCCAAGCAATCTAGCTATGGATGAGAGTCGATTTATAACGTCTCAATAGTGTGTTGCGCATTTTTTCGAAAACGGTGACTGTAATGTATTCTAATCTAAGGTCTCAATCACCCTGGTTGCTCATGTTACTATAGAGTCGGATTACAGTATACCACTTTATAGATTATATACGATGTATTATTTTGTAAAAGTGATTTAGAGAGAAGCCCCATGGTTGAAGGACTTGATCTGCTAGTACATTACGCTCAGTGGATTAGACACTCATTATTTATGATCCAAATGAATTTAATAAAAAATAATTAAAGAAAATATTTAAAAAACCCTTTTTGTTGAAACCAGCTCGATTTTTAAATTAACTTATATAATGACAGAAAGTGGAAATTCTTAGTTATTATACTAAGCATAAGAGTAAAAATAATATGCCCTGTTCAGCTGAAATTCTTATTAGACTTCGCTAGAGAAGAAGCATTATGATTACATTTGTACAAAAAGCTTTGTTTTTGACGATTTATCATACGGGAAAATCAGATAATAGCTAGGAATAATGCGGTAAACCCTGCTAATAGAAAATAATTTTCTGAATCATTAAATATCCATTATTGAAATGATCCCTTTTAATGGAAAACCGATTACTTCGCGAACTTGAATTGCTATTGATAAAAAAATCATATAAAAATTACACTTAAATAGGTTTTATAATTGAAGTATTATTCAGGAAAAAATTGAGATTTTACAGACTTTTTTATTTAATTAAGGCCACATAATTCATAATCTTTGATATTATAAATTTTAAAACGCAGAGAAATTATTAGTGTGTTAATTCTACTAATACAAACTGTCTACTCGTAAAAACATTTGTCTAGAATGTTCGAAATGCATGATAAGAACTAAAAGATAAATCAAGATATTGTTATGTTTTTAAATCTAATATTAAGGTAAAATGATGTAATAAAATGCTTGTGTCAATACAATATTTTTAATATTTTGCAGATAACTTAATCTTTATATAGATACATATGTTTTAAACGATATGTAATCATATATTAGATATGCTTCAGATATGTTTAAAAGGTATGTCCGAATACAGGATCCCTATTTACGATATTTATTGCCAAAGCATAATGTATTTTAAAATTGCTCTCAACAAGATAGAGGCGGTTGCTTCTAAATAATGCATTAACAAGTGAAAGCCTGTTTGGATCTCTACGTGTTTGCAAAGCATATTTAGATGATGATGTAACAAAGAAATCGATATGTAAAAATCATTTGACAGATAATGTTGTGCTGTTTTACGACAAAAATCGGACCAATATTAAAGCATTTATTTATTTAATATAATATCGCTCATCAGATTCTTTATATATTATTTATTAGAAATGAAATTAATGTATATTAGATAATTGCTTTTTGTGAGGACTGTGTTTTAGTTACAGTATAAGCGTAGTGTAGCCTAAACAAGTCTGTAAGTTCGATTTCTGTGTTAAAGCAAACATGGTATATCAACATGACATAAGTAATCATGGCACTTTCTAAATAAATTTGGTAATTTGTAAAGGAAAACAAATATTATTTGTTAAGGATAATCATTGTCATTAAAATAATTTTTTTAAATATTTTATTACTACAATCATTTGAATTAAAAAAATTAGGTTGTTATCAGCAAGTTTTAAATCTATAGAAATTAAATAAATATTCCTAAAATTTATTTTCATTATCTCTGATAAAAAATTTTAAATTTTTGTAATTTTACATCCATTGTATGACTTTGATTATTTAAATAAAATTTCACAATATTAATTACAATGATTTTTTTGTAGCAATGATGCCTCTTCCATTTGCATTTTTTTATTAGGAGCGATTCATTATAATTTCTAATGTTATTCCAAAGAGAAAAAATATGTAAAAAAAAGAAAAAAATATAAATTTAAGGTTACAAAATTTTTACAAAACTACTACTATTTCATACCCATCTGAATCTAAAATTGTAGCTGTGATAATTCTTTTCGTCACACAATTTCTTTTCTTTCAACAAAAAGAATGTTGGAGGGAAAATGATTTGTTCACTTTTTACTTGAGACAATTTGCATAATTTCTTAATGGATTAATTTAATTAATACAAATGAAGCAATCATAAAAATTGTTTGACCTAGTTGTGTGAAATATTTTTATTTCACTTCTTGTTACGAAAGGACTACCTTTTTTCTTTTAAGATAAATATTTCTGGTGTCATTTAGAAATTTTCATTTAACGAAAATTAAACGATTATTGCAAACAAATTGAAACAAGGGGAACCTGATTAAAACATGTACGTCTTTGTCAAAGATAGTCACGAAAGAGGAAGGAGCCAACTCTCTGGAAAGTGTTTGTCCTAAATTATTGTAGCACAATGAGTTTACAGTATGGCAGTTTCTATTGTAAATTGAGTTTGATACAGTTATGCATTTCAATAGCGGAATCCTTCAGGTAAATTACTCGCTCTTTGAAGGAAATGCCTTTGCTATTTAGAATTAGAATAATTATATAATTCATGATATATGCACACATACACACTCGAGAACGCGTATATATATATATAGCCCTGAATGGCCGAGTGGCCAGCGGTCAGGGGCTCTCTAACACAGGTTTCGGGTTTGAGTCCCGGCGACGCCATGGATGTTTGTAGTGGTTCGGAATTCCCTTTAAACCGTAGGTCCCGGTCCAATAGGATCGTAGAGCGTTGCGGAGGTATTGTTACTCGACGTCCGTAGCTTATATTCAAGCTACACGCACCTTCTGGTGTTTGTCAGCTGCAATAAAACAATATATATAGATAGATAGATATACATATAGACATTATATATATATATATATATATATATATATATATATAAAGACACCGCAATATTCCTGACACCCAAATTTTCATAAACTTCATGTAAACACAATGAAATTGTATAATAAAACAATAATAATATTTCCCTGTACATAAACCCTGAAGTGCCTCCATTCATTACCCTCAGAAAAAGTGAAAAGTAAGAATGATCCGAATGCTCAAGAAGCGAATTAAGCATAGGCTGCATCTACATATAATGTATGTATACATTTTTGTAATTTAGAATTCTATATGTATCTAACAACTATATATATGATTCTAATCGATTGTGCTACAATAGTTGCTGGAAACGCTTAAATAGCTGAAACTGAATAGATATTACAATGAAAACTAATGAAAGATAATAATTTTCCTAAAATTTTACAATATGTTAAAAATTGCACTACATAAGATTGTTAGAATAAAAACTTTGTCTATCAATATTGTATATCAAAGTGTAGTTGTAAAATGTAGAAGCAGTAATCAGTACTTTTCTAGTGGCGAATAAATTCATGCCAGAGTACCAGGAGTAACAAACATTAAAAAACACAAACTACTAGTTTTTTAAAATTTAGCATATACTTTTTTTCATGTTGAATAGCAGTGAGCTTTGTATTCCACTTATGCATGTCACTAAGAGCCTACTGAAGAGTGATGAATGTATTGCCTTACGGAGGGACTTTTATGGGTTACAGCCTCATGTTTGTCTGTCGTATGGGAGAAACCTTAGGAAACCCACTCCCTTTCCCAAGCAATCTAGCTATGGATGAGAGTCGATTTATGTTGTTGTTGTTTGTTGTTGTTTCTTATCCCACTTGGCTGTCCAAGCCCACGAGCCCACACATACTCATGATTGAAGGGGAAGGAAGCAGCTTCTGTTGTGATGGAGCACCCGTAGGTAGAAGCCTGACTTTTGCTCCGTGACGCTCATACAGTCATAGAAGACCGGGACCTACGGCTTAAAGTGGATTCCGAACCACTACAAACATCCATGGCACTGCCGGGATTAGAATCCGAAACCTGTGGCACCGAGCGCCAGAGCGCTAGACACTCGGCCATTCAGGTCCCAAATTTGCCAACAGCACGCAGTGTTCCCAGGTGGTCACCCACCCAAGTACTGACCGCATGTTTGATGCGTAACTTCGGGATCTAACGAGAACCGGTACATTCAAGCATGGTACGGCTATGGCTGAGTCGATTTATAACGTCCCAATAGTGTGTTGCGCATTTTTTCGAAAACAGTGACCATAATGTATTCTAATCTAAGGTCTCAATCACCCTGGTTGCTCATGTTACTATAGAGTCGGATTACAGTATACCACTTTATAGATTATATACGATGTATTATTTTGTAAAAGTGATTTAGAGAGAAGCCCCATGGTTGAAGGACTTGGTCTGCTAGTACATTACGCTCAGTGGATTAGACACTCCTGTTTTATGATCCAAATGAATGTAATAAAAAATAATTAAGGAAAATATTTAAAAAGACCTTTTTGCTGAAACAAGCTCGATTTTTAAATTAACTTACATAATGACAGAAAGTGGAAATTCTTAGTTATTATACTAATCATAAGAGTAAAAATAATATGCTATGTTCAACTAAAATTCTTATTAGACTTCGCTAGAGAAGAAGCATTATGATTACATTTGTACAAAAAGCTTTGTTTTTGACGATTTATCATACGGGAAAATCAGATAATAGCTCGGAATAATGCGGTAAACCCTGCTAATAGAAAATAATCTTCTGAATCATTAAATATCCATTATTGAAATGATCCCTTTTAATGGAAAACCGATTACTTCGCGAACTTGAATTGCTATTGATAAAAAAAAATCATATAAAAATTACACTTAAATAGGTTTTATAATTGAAGTATTATTTAGGAAAAAATTGAGATTTTATAGACATTTTTATTTAATTAAGGCCACATAATTCATAATCTTTGATATTATAAATTTTAAAACCCAGAGAAATTATTAGTGTGTTAATTCTACTAAAACAAACTGTCTACTCGTAAAAACATTTGTCTAGAATGTTCGAAATGCATGATAAGAACTAAAAGATAAATCAAGATATTGTTATATTTTTAAATCTAATATTAAGGTAAAATGATGTAATAAAATGCTTGTGTCAATACAATATTTTTAATATTTTGCAGATAACTTAATCTTTATATAGATACATATGTTTTAAACGATATGTAATCATATATTAGATATGCTTCAGATATGTTTAAAAAGTATGTCCGAATACAGGATCCCTATTTACGATATTTATTGCCAAAGCATAATGTATTTTAAAATTGCTCTCAACAATATAGAGGTGGTTGCTTCTAAATAATGCATTAACAAGTGCAAGCCTGTTTGGATCTCTACGTGTTTGCAAAGCATATTTAGATGATGATGTAACAAAAAAATCGATATGTAAAAATCATTTGACAGATAATTTTGTGCTGTTTTACGACAAAAATCGGACCAATATTAAAGTATTTATTTATTTAATATAATATCGCTCATTAGATTCTTTATATATTATTTATTAGAAATGAAATTAATGTATATTAGATAATTGCTTTTTGTGAGGACTGTGTTTTAGTTACAGTATAAGCGTAGTGTAGCCTAAACAAGTCTGTAAGTTCGATTTCTGTGTTAAAGCAAACATGGTATATCAACATGACATAAGTAAACATGGTACTTTCTAAATAAATTTTGTAATTTATAAAGGAAAACAAATATTATTTGTTAAGGATAATATGGAACATTTTAGATTTATTTCAAAGTGATATTTATTTTTTAAATGTTTGTTTTGGTTTTAATTTATTACTAATTTTTAAGTGTTAGTTAAAGTAAAAGTTAAAAAAAAAGTATTTTTACTTGTCGAAAATTTTGAACACAGATATACAGCAGATTTAACGATATTTAGACTGGACCATTAGAATAACATATTACATTACACCCACGTTTTGTCACTACAATTAGGAGCTAGTCCCTTTGAAGCGTGTCATCTGGGAAGGCTCGCACACTCCATTTTGTACCTTATAACAAAACTTCTGACTTACGGATTTAATGCGTCCATTTCCGATATAGAAAGTAAAAATATTGTTTCGGAATTATTAGCAGTGTTTTGAGCCTAGCTCTTTTAGTTGGGAATTTATTTTTTAAAGTGTAAATTAACAAATTTATTCCACCTATTCTTGCTTAATTCAAAATCGATTTCGTTTAATGAAGAATGAAAACGTAGAAGAAAAATTTTTTAAAAATAATGATATATCAAAGAAAAAATTTAATTATTATATAAAAGCTACATTGAATATTTAGTTGATAATGTTAAACTATTACTATTAATGGTCCAGTGTTAACATGTGCATCTAGTGTGAAAGAGGACTCCAAGTTCGCGAGAGGTGTCCGTTGCCCTAACTGCTTTCAGAAACGACGAAACCCCGATAGCTATTGTTGTAACAATGTGCATAAAGCGTCTTGCATTATTTAAATTTTCTTCCATATGACATGAAAATGTGAGGCAGTTACCGCTACCACTGTTTCCGGAAGACAAAGTCCCTCCCGCCCCCCTCATCACCCATCACGTCATTTGGGTGTTCGTAGCATATATAAGTAGAACACGATGCATATCGATGTTCTAAGAAATATAAAATTTGTAAATGACCAATATTTAAGGTATTGTTGAAAGTAAATTTATATGCCCAATAATATGGTCGGAGCAATTTAAAATTTTCAAAATCCTGTTTGTAATTACCTGCACGAGGTAGCAAACCTTCATTCTAATTAAAAAAACCTGCAATAACTAATAACTAATTAGGCTTTAAATTGCACTCGTGTTGTTTATATTGCATTACACTTGTTAAATAAACTTTAAAAATACAATTTTCATTGTAAAATGTTTTGCTTGACTGAAGGTTATTTATATATCAAAGGTAACACAAATGAGTCCGATTCGTGACTCAGTGACATTATCATGCGCCCCCGGTGAGCAATACGACTGAGGTTTAATCCGCTGGCGGCTTATTGTAGACACAGTTTAAAAAAAACCCGAGAAAACTCGATGGCGTTTGTGATGCTCATCATCTTGTCTCGTGAATCGGACTAATTGGTCTGAGTTTTCCGGGTTTTCTCTCTTACGATACGCGAATGCAGGGTAGTTCCCCTTTAAAGGCATCTCGGAAGGCACTGCCTTCCTTCTTTAGCGACACGGAACCAGTCAGACTTCTACCTAGGGGTGCTCCATCGCAACAAAAGTTGTAACCCCACCTTCCATGAGGATACATGGGTTCATAGACATGGATGTTACTGTCGACCGAGTGGGATAAGCAAGGGGTATCATAAAAGAACTTATTAAAATAACTGATGTAATTTTATGTTTTGATATTTATATTTAAAATTATTCTCCTAGATTAAATGTATAATAAAGAGAGATACATAAATGAAACCATTCAGTCAGAGAATAATATATTTAGAAAATCTGCTGATTATAAAAATAAAAGTAATTAGTTTATTAAAATTTAAATATATATTGATAATCTTTATTATTATAAGAATAAAAGAGTATTTAAATTTTCCTAGCTTTAAAAAGAAATCTAAAATATTATTAAGGAGCATAGAAAAATTGGAAATATTTGAGGGCTCTCAATTGAAGCATTTTATTCCATTAAAATTTTTAATTAAGGAAAATAGTGAATTTGTAAACTTGTTAAGTTAAATTAGTTGTTATTTAATATATTGGTTATCGACATGGAGCTCTTGAGGAGGTAAAGGAGTGTTTTGAATAGAACCTTAGTTATGGAAAAATAGAATATTTCGACAAAGAAACATATAACTTTTACAACAGAAGTTTATTCATTGAAAATTTAACATGATCATGAGGGAGTTGATCATAGGGAGTTCATAGGGAGTTGATATCATAACACACTATTTTCTTTGTTAAATTCTTCCAATTTTGTAATATCACCATTAATATCAAAGAAATGAGGGGCCTGATGACCGAGTAGCTAGCGCTTTGGGGCTCGGTACCACAGATTTCGGGTTCGAGTCCCGGCGATGAAAAGGATGTTTGAAGTGTCTTGAAATTCATTTTAAACCGCAGGTACCGGTCTAAATAGAATCGTAGAGCGTTGTGAGGGTAGTGTTACTCGCGTCCGTAGCCTATCTTCAGGCTGCACGTGCCTACTGGTTAGTGCTAAATGAGTAATAGTGGTGCAGGCCTTGATTATGGCATAAAGATTAACTGTCTCTGTATTGCCAGCTGCATTTAAACAGCATATCAAAGAAATTCATATTATATAATTTGTTGTATATTGTGTGCGAAGTCATTCTTTTCATACGAAAATTTCATTCTAATCGCACCATCTGAACCGAATCAAATAATTGTTGATCAGATTGTTCTGTTAAAACTTGCATAACGTTAGCGAAGATGACATGTTGCACTAACACACCACCCGCTATTTAAGCTGGACCAACGACAAAGACCAATAAATAGCATAGCTCTTGAAATGGACACGATTCAATATTTAATTGAAAAAAATCACAGCTACTGCTGGCATTCCCTTCCACATTCTGTAACTATGTTACAAGAAAGCTATTCACCTCCTTTCATGACCATCGAAAGTCAAAAGGTAGATTTGTAAATTGCCTTTCCGAATTTCCTGCAATCAGTCACGAGCTCGCGTGAACAGAAAAATTGTTGATTCATCAATTGATTTCTTTCACGCGATTTTCAAAAAATACGAATCTCGGCAATTTACGGAGAGTAATTACTAAAATGTTAGAATTTTTGAGACTTTATGAGCAAATACATCTGTGTAAAAAATGTGCGAGCTCAGGTATCATATTTTTTTATGTGCAGCGCCACTTAAAAACACTACCATGAAGTATATGTAGTTCCATCCGGTTATACCTTCGGGAACTGTGACTTAAAAGTGACTGCTTTTCATTTCTTTGTAAAAAAAAATACCTGCAAATTCCTTTAATAAATGAATCTTCAAAAGGTCCTAGTTCCTCTCTTTGTGATTACAAATCTATGATTAATAACCATATTTTGAACTTCTACCCTTTACCCAGTAACCCTATTATATAAAAGTTCTCTATAAATAAGTGATAAAATCATCGAGCTTTGATAAGTTATCAAGTCGAGCCACATCTTAGTCGCCTTTTACTACATGCATTGGCTACA